CCTGCACTGTCTCTGTCCATTGTTTGTATACCTGTACTGTCTCTGTACATTGTTTGTATACCTGCACTGTCTCTGTCCATTGTTTGTATACCTGTACTGTCTCTGTACATTGTTTGTATACCTGCACTGTCTCTGTCCATTGTTTGTATACCTGTACTGTCTCTGTCCATTGTTTGTATACCTGTACTGTCTCTGTACATTGTTTGTATACCTACACTGTCTCTGTCCATTGTTTGTATACCTGTACTGTCTCTGTACATTGTTTGTATACCTGTACTGTCTCTGTACATTGTTTGTATACCTGTACTGTCTATGTCCATTGTTTGTATACCTGCACTGTCTCTGTCCATTGTTTGTATACCTGTACTGTCTCTGTACATTGTTTGTATACCTACACTGTCTCTGTCCATTGTTTGTATACCTGTACTGTCTCTGTCCATTGTTTTTTACACCTGTACTGTCTATGTCCATTGTTTGTATACCTGTACTGTCTCTGTCCATTGTTTGTATACCTGCACTGTCTGTCCATTGTTTGTATACCTACACTGTCTATGTACATTGTTTGTATACCTGTACAGTGACCCCTCGTTTAACGAACGCCTCGGTTAACGAAATTTCGGTTAACGAACTGCCTTCCATGAGGATCTTCAATTCGGTTAACGAACAAAAATTCGGTTAACGAATTTCTTACGAACCGACCTCAACATGTTTTCGCTTGCACTGACCGGGCAACCAGCTTTAGTATCAGTCCGCCAATACATTAATCGGTTCTAGGGCTTAAATTCCTAACTATTTTAGTAAATATCAAGAAGTTTATACTATTCAATAATTTTAAAAGTTTAATATTAATTTTTTTAGTCATTTTAACAATTATTGAACATAATTGAAGGTAAAGTGACTAGTATAATGCGCAGCATCCAGCCTCTTAACACAGCAAACAGGCGTTAGTCTCTCTGTTTACACTGGAGGTAATATCTTGCTTGAGACTCTCTTCAACTAAACGCTTTTTTCTGTGTTTCCAAGCAAATTATTGGTCATTTTGAAATATATTTTACATATTGACAATATATAATGCAGTACAGTGTTGATTTAAAGAAAAAAATCTTGAAATACACCAAGAGAACTAAAATTTTATGGATGAAATGGTGCCATGGGGTGACTTCTCTTCCACCCCAATGCCTTTTCTTCTTCCTTCTCCTCCACCCCCATTCTAATTCCCATCATCATCATCATCATCATCATCCAGGAGCCTTTTACATACACACCTCAAAGTAAGTGAACTTTTCTACCATTTTTGTTGAATTTAGGAAATTTTCGGTGAGCTGGAACCAATTACCCAAAAACCCTTTGAAACAATGGTTTCGGTTAACGAACTTTTCGGTTAACGAACGACCTTCTGGAACGGATTGAGTTCGTTAACGAGGGTCACTGTACTGTTTATGTACACTGTTTGTATACCTGTACTGTCTATGTACATTGTTTGTATACCTGCACTGTCTATGTCCAATGAAAGACAAAAGTTGTGTCGTGAAATTTGGTGAAAACATATGCCGAGGGAATAATCTTTTGGTGCACTCTACCTTGTGGTAGGGGGCTCTCATAATGTGTCACGAGTTATATTTAATCTTCGGACAAAACCGCACACACGACTTTTTGTCTTTGATTGTACATTAAAATCATACCGAGGATTTTGTTCAGATTTCCCACAGAGGTACAGTACTTCTTTACATGGTGATCTGGTTCTTAACATTCAGCAACTGGTGGGATACTATGGTAGTGTACTGAAGGACTGTTCCACCAGCAGCAAGTACACCTTAAAGTGCAGTTTACTGTATTCATTTATTGTTGAGAAGACGAGGGTTAGTTGACCACCTTTTTATGAAGGAATTGGTCTGCAACACAACTATAAGAGCTTTAATGTTGCAACTTCAATATCTTGTAAGATGTAACACAATCTGTGAGACTCTTCAGGGAACTCATTCCTGACATGAGTGTTTTCACTTGTTTTCCTCAGATGTTGGCAAGTGTGAGGTCTTGAAAGTTACATGTTCTTTAGAGTATCAGTTTGCCTCCCTCTAACACTTGGTATAACACTGTGAGGTCAATAACAAAAGCAGATCATTTGTATCATTTACTTTACCAAATTTCTGTACAGAATTAGGTTTAAAATGTACAAGAAAGAAAAAAGAATACAGTTTTAACCATACTATAATGAGGATAGCTTTAACCATACTATAATGAGGATAATATTAGAAACTACATAAAATTCATATAGCATAAATGCTGTACTGCATAACAGGTTATAGTATATAAATGTGCTTCTAGTATTTTATTCAATTATAGTAAAAAGAGAATAATTATAGTATATTACCAGATGTTATACTAACATATTCTGGTACTGTACTAATATTGCACAAGATTCATGGAACCAAATACTGTATCATCAACAGCCGAATATCTCACCAACACAGAGTGTAAGTTATAGTTACCAACAATTATACACATTTTGGCACAACTCAATTATAGGTACAAGAGGATACAATAGCGTAGTAATACCTTTGACCTGTAAGGCGTTATGAACTGAATAGTGTGAGCAAATAGGTCATTGTAATACTGTTAATATATGGCAATAAATAATGTTATTAAATATGCCACAAGTGAGCAAAGTTGACATATTCATATGTGCAAGTTTTTATTTCAATAGAAAAATAGAAAAATTTACTTACTCTTGATGTAAAATGGACAATAGGTCTTGTGACTTTCTTAGATCTCTAAAAAGTTCATCTATTGATAATATATTGTATAATGTATAACTGTGCAAGTAGGCAAACGTTATTTCTTGCAAAGTGATGAGGACATTTATTAAGCTTTCTGAAGTTACATGTTGACACCACACCATCACAACTAATGCATACATCAGCAGGATACACCAAGTTATCTTTTCATTTCATACCAGCTTGAGAGTTTGGTCAAGTTCCAATATTCTAATTTTAATTATAATAAAAAAAAAATATTCATGATTAAAACAGTACTGTACTGTACGATGTATTTTGACAACTAGCACTTGAACTAAACTGAGTACAGTATGTATAGATCTGTTGTCCACAGGACGAACAGTGTAAATCCCCTCATGAATTAGGATGTTTATCTATTGGATGGTCGAGATGCTCGGCACGTGTAATAAATTCTCCCGACAAAATGGTTGACATAATTTCCTGCCCTCCCATCTTGATGATAATCATTCAAGGTTATATGAGTGTATTGACTGCCTCTGCTGAGAGAAGGTCTTCTGCTGAAAGAGCTTGACGTGATGTGACGTGACGTAACGTGACGTGACATAACATGACATGATGTAATGTGACATGACATGATTCTTCATATCCAGGAAATACAATGCAATACGTGCAACTTGACTCCTGGAACAAGCACATATTTTTGTTTATGGAGTATTATCAATGACACAACTTTTCTGGCTGCAGTTTTTTTAAATATATTCAAGGTGTAAAAATATCTATCTTCCAAATTGCTTCAGTGAGCAGTTCTGTGCTGGCAATCTTCTCATGCAGTGCAGGAAACATGTGCATGATACACATGAGGATAATATAAGTTGTCAATAAACTGAGAGAGACAATGTTACCACCGATAACTTGACTAGTATGATCTCTACCACTAGTCTCTCAGGGCCCCTCATGTATGGTCTCTACCACTAGTCTGTCAGGGCCCTCATGTGTAATCTCTACCACTAGTCTCTCAGGGCCCCTCATATGGTCTCTACCACTAGTCTGTCAGGGCCCTCATGTATAGTCTCTACCACTGGTCTCTCAGGGCCCCTCATGTATGGTCTCTACCACTAGTCTGTCAGGGCCCTCATGTATGATCTCTACCACCTAGTCTCTCAGGGCCCCTCATGTATGGTCTCCACCACTAGTCTGTCAGGAGCCCTCTCCTTTGCTTGGTCTCTACCACTAGTGTGTCCCTCATGTATAGTCTATTACTGCCTGGTCTGTCAGGGCCCCTCATGTATGGTCTCTACCACTAGTCTGTCAGGGCCCCTCATGTATGGTCTCTACCACTAGTCTGTAAGGCCCTCATGTATGGTCTCTACCACTAGTCTGTCAGGGCCCTCATGTATGAGAATCTCTACCACTAGTCTGTCAGGGACCTCATGTATGGTCTCTACCACTAGTCTGTCAGGGCCCCTCATGTGCCATGGTCTCCCTCTAGTCTGTCAGGGCCCTCATGTATGGTCTCTACCACCCCTAGTCTGTCAGGGCCCCTCATGTATGGTCTCTACCACTAGTCTGTCAGGGCCCTCATGTATAGTCTCTACCACACTAGTCTGTCAGGGCCCCTCATGTATGGTGCTACCACTGTCAGGGCCCCTCATGTATGGTTCTACCACTAGTCTGTCCAGAGGCCCTCATGTGTATGGTCTCTCTCTACCACACTGGTCTGTCAGGGCCCCTCATGTATGGTCTCTACCACACACACTAGTCTGTCCAGGGCCCTCATGTAGTCCCTCTCACCCTGACTCTGTCTGGGCCCCTCATGTACATGGTCTCTACCACACTGGTCTCTCAGAATTTCTTATGGTCTCTACCACTGGTCTGTCAGGGCCCCTCATGTATGGTCTCTACCACTAGTCTGTCAGGGCCCCTCATGTATGGTCTCTACCACTGGTCTGTCAGGCCCCTCATGTATGGTCTCTACCACTAGTCTGTCAGGACCCTCATGTATGGTCTACCACTGGTCTGTCAGGGCCCCACATGGTCTCTACCACCACTAGTCTCTCAGGGCCCTCATGCCCAATTCTCCCCGTCTCTCAGAGCCCCTCATGTATGGTCTCTTCCACTGGTCTCTCAGAGCCCTCATATGGTCTCTGCACTAGTCAGGGCCCCTCATGTAATTCTCTACTAGTCTCTCCAGGGCCCCTCTTCTTATGGTCTCTACCTAGTCTCTCAGGGGCCCCTCATGTATGGTCTCTACCACTAGTCTGTCAGGGCCCCTCATGTATAGTCTCTACCACTGGTCTGTCAGGGCCCCTCATGTATGGTCTCTACCACTGGTCTGTCAGGAGGGCCCTCTTGTGTCTCTACTACTAGTCTGTCAGGGCCCCGCATATGGTCTCTGCTGGTCTGTCCAGGCCCCTCATGTGGTCTCTACCACTAGTCTGTCAGGACCCTCATGTATGGTCTCTACCACTGGTCTGTCAGGGCCCTCATGTATGGTCTCTACCACACTAGTCTGTGGGGCCCCTCATGTATGGTCTCTACCATAGTCTCTCAGGGCCTCCATGTATGGTCTCTACCACTAGTCTGTCCAGGGCCCCTCATGTATGGTCTCTACACTAGTCTCTCAGAGCCCCACCTCATGTCTCTACCACTTGCCCCCTAGTCTCTCAGGGCCCCTCTGCTGGTCTCTACCACTAGTCTGTCAGGGCCCTCATGTATGGTCTATACCACTAGTCTCTCAGGGCCCCTCATGTATGGTCTCTACCACCCCTAGTCTCTCAGGGCCCCTCATGTATGGTCTCTACCACTGATCTCTCAGGGCCCCTCATGTATGGTCTCTACCACCTAGTCTCTCAGGGCCCCTCATGTATGGTCTCTACCACTAGTCTGTCAGGGCCCCTCATGTATGGTGCCTACTACTGATCTCTCAGGGCCCCTCATGTATAGTCCTCCTACCACTCCTAGTCTCAGGGCCCCTCATGTATGGTCTCTACCACTGGTCTGTCAGGGCCCTCATGTATGGTCTCTACCACTAGTCTCTCAGGGCCCTCATGTATGGTCTCTACCACCCTAGTCTGTCAGGGCCCCTCATGTATGGTCTCTACCACTGGTCTCTCAGGGCCCCTCATGTATGGTCTCTACCACTGGTCTGTCAGGGGCCCCTCATGTGTGGTCTCCCACCTAGTCTGTCAGGGCCCTCATGTATGGTCTCTACCACCCCTAGTCTGTCAGGGCCCCTCTGTATGGTCTCTACCACTGTGGTCTGTCAGGGCCCCTCATGGTCTCTACCACTGGTCTGTCAGGGGCCCTCATGTATGGTCTCTACCACCCCTAGTCTGTCAGGGCCCTCATGTATGGTCTCTACCACGCACTGGTCTGTCAGGGCCCCTCATGTATGGTCTCTACCACTAGTCTGACAGGGCCCCTCATGTATGGTCTCTACCACTGGTCTCCTGGGGCCCTGTATGGTCTACCACTAGTCTGTCAGGGCCCTCATGTATGGTCTCTACCACTAGTCTGACAGGGCCCCTCATGTATGGTCTCTACACTGGTCTGTCAGGGCCCCTCATGTATGGTCTCTACCACCTAGTCTGTCAGGGCCCTCATGTATGGTCTCTACCACTGGTCTGTCAGGGCCCCTCATATGGTCTCTACCACCCTAGTCATGGGGCCCCTCATGTATGGTCTCTACCACTGGTCTCTCAGGGCCCTCATGTATGGTCTCACTCAGTCTGTCGGGGCCCCTCATGTATGGTCTCTACGCCACTAGTCTGACAGGGCCCCTCATGTATGGTCTCTACCACTGGTGCAGTAGGGGCCCCTCATGTATAGTCTCTACCACTAGTCTGTCAGGGCCCCTCATGTGTATGGTCTCACCCTGTCTGTCAGGGCCCCTCATGTATGGTCTCTACCTAGTCTGTCAGGGCCCCTCATGTATGGTCTCTACCACTGTGGTCTCTCAGGGGCCCCTCATGTATGGTCTCTACCACCTAGTCTGTCCAGGGCCCCTCATGTATGGTCTCTACCACACTAGTCCTGACAGGGCCCCTCATGTATGGTCTCTACCACTGGTCTGTCAGGGCCCTCATGTATGGTCTCACCACGCTGGTCTGTCAGGGCCCCTCATGTATGGTCTCTACCACTAGACTCTCAGGGCCCTCATGTATGGTCTCTACCACTGGTCTGTCAGGGCCCTCATGTGGTCTCTACACACTGGTCTCTCAGGGCCCCTCATGTATGGTCTCTACCACTAGTCTGTCCCAGGGCCCCTCATGTATGGTCTCTACCACTGGTCTGTCAGGGCCCTCATGTATGGTCTCTACCACTAGTCTGTCAGGGCTATGTATAGTCTCTACTGGTCTCAGGGCCCCTCATGTGGTCTCTACCACTGTCTGTCAGGCCCCTCATGTATCAGTCTCTACCACTAGTCTGACAGGGCCCCTCATGTATGGTCTCTGCACTGGTCTGTCAGGGCCCTCATGTATGGTCTCTGCTGGTCTGTCAGAGGGCCCCTCATGCTTATGGTCTCTACCACTAGACTCTCAGGGCCCCTCATGTATGGTCTCTACCACACTGGTCTCAGGGCCCATGTATGGTCTCTACCACTAGTCTGACAACCAGGAGCCCCTCATGTATGGTCTCTACCACTGGTCTCTCAGGGCTGTGCTCATTCTACCACCTAGTCTGTCAGGGCCCCTCATGTATGGTCTCACCACTGGTCTCTCAGGGCCCCTCATGTGGTCTCTACCACTAGTCTGACAGGGCCCCTCATGTATGGTCTCTACCACTGGTCAGGGCCTCATGTATGGTCTCTACCACTAGTCTCTCAGGGCCCCTCATGTATAGTCTCTACCACTAGTCTGTCAGGGCCCCTCATGTATGGTCTCTACCACTGGTCTGTCAGGGCCCCTCATGTATGGTCTCTACCACTTACTAGTCTGACAGGGCCCCTCATGTATGGTCTCTACCACTGGTCTCTCAGGGCCCTGTTTATGGTCTCTACCACTAGTCTGTCAGGGCCCCTCATGTATGGTCTCTACTGGTCTCTCAGGGCCCCTCATGTGGTCTCTACCACCCCTAGTCTGTCAGGGCCCCTCATGTGGTCTCTGCACTGGTCTGTCAGGGCCCCTCGTAGCAGCATGGTCTCTACCTAGCTGTCAGGGCCCCTCATGTATGGTCTACCACTAATCATGGGGCCCTCATGTATGGTCTCTACCACTGGTCTGTCAGGGCCCTACCATGTATGGTCTCTACCACTGAACTGACCAGGGCCCTCATGTATGGTCTCTACCACACTGGTCTCTCAGGGCCCCTCATGTATGGTCTCTACCACCACTAGTCTCTCAGGGCCCCTCATGTATGGTCTCACTGGTCTGTCAGGGCCCCTCATGTATGGTCTCTACCACTGGTCTGTCAGGGCCCCTCATGTGGTCTCTACCACTGGTCTCTCAGGGCCCCTCATGTATGGTCTCTACCACTGGTCTCTCAGGGCCCTCATGTATGGTCTCTACCACTGGTCTGTCAGGGCCCCTCATGTATGGTCTCTACCACTGGTCTCTCAGGGCCCCTCGTAGCATGGTCTCTACCACTGGTCTCTCCCAGGGCCCTCATGTATGGTCTCTACCACTAGTCTGTCAGGGCCCTCATGTATGGTCTACCGTTATCAGACCCTCATCTTCATAGATTCTCTACCACTGGTCTCTCAGGGCCCTCATGTATGGTCTCTACCACTGGTCTGTCAGGGCCCCTCATGTATGGTCTTCATCACTAGCCACCATCGCCACATGCTGTGATCCCATTGACTAGTAGAAGTGATCAATGACTCATCAGGCACAATTAATTTAGTCATCTTGTTACCATAAAGGAAGAGTCAGCACACCTCTTGATGCTGTACCATGAAGGAGAGGAATCACATGAGCAAAAAAATTAATTCAACTTCATCAATGGAAAATCTGGGATGAAATAGACAATACATATCTGGGATTTACAATTCACTAAAAACTGGTTTACATTATTTTCCTCAGGCTGTGTCTCAGAATGTACTGACACGGATTACCTCCATAGATACGTAGATTGTAAAAGAGATAAAAATGTTGTTCAACTTGAAATGAACAGGAAGAAATTAATGCTCTATTGCTGTACATCCCAACTGAGTGTTGCTGGTAACTCTTTTTTACTGACAGGAGTAGAAGAGAAGCTTACATTACAAGTGAAAACATAACCAGTTTATTACCTTTCTAATAATATTTCAATGAGTTATTAAGTTTGGAGAGTCTAAGAAAGCTTCATAAGTGACAAGCATCTGAACTATATGAATGGGACAAAAAACAAAATATAAATAAATACCTGCACCAGGATTTAATACACTGTAGCAACAAACACTACTTAATACCCACCTACAACAGACCATTCCTGGCTCACTGAGGTAATGAACATTCCAACACAAACACCATATATAATCTTTCTTTTTTCAGAATATATTATCTAAAAAGAAAGAAGAGTTGTTTACCATTCAAAATAATCTTGACCAAGTTGGGAATTAAATAAGCTAAACACTTCATCATGTGAGCAACATGATCTACTCCAGGAGCTGCACATGGTCTCCTATAACAAACTACAGTACCAAGGATTACTGGAAGTTCTCTTCTTTTCCATCTTATCAACTCTGAAAATATTATTATGTAAGGTTTTCATTTTGAATGAGGATCTGACAGCTATATGAACCAATTCAGCTGATGTCTGGGTCAGCTCAAAGTAATCCTGCATCTTTCTGATAACAGAAAAAAATTATCGTAATTATTTTCTGAATGGCTCTATAATCATGGCTCAGAATCACAGTACAGTATAGTCTGGATTTACGCGGTTGTTGTTGTTTACGCGTTTGATCATTTACGCAGTGCCTTACCAGAATGAAAATGCTTTAATTACGCGGTAAATTTGGTCATTTACGTGGCGAGCTGCTGGAGAGGTGCAGACCGCCACGCCATTTTTTACCCACGCGGTCCATTCTTGACCATACGCGGGAAGCGGCGCGGTGAGTGGTGCGCATTAGGCCGCTCTTACGTTATCGCTGACGTCATATGACGTATCGGACTGTGATTGGGCCACGCATCCTTACCACCCACGCATTCCCTCCGCCGTTAGCTGTGATTGGTCTAATGTAACATGACGTGCCCTGCCACCAGAGGGTAGAGGTCGCTGACCTAGCCGGGCCTGTCTCATTGTTCTCAGTCCGCGTATACAGTTCTCTCTTGTGCCCGCTATTCCCCTCACAATGGCTTCAGCGGGACCCCCACCACCCGAGAAAAACATTGAATTACCTGGACCAAGCCATGATAATGTGAAGGAAATCATCGAGTTGGGGGAGAAAATTAAGCTCATCCTTGACAACGACCCAGACAAGCATAGGTATAAAATGTCTAATAACCATCTGACGAAATTTATGGAGCCGTATATCCAGATCTGTCTCGACAACATCAATGCTAGTCATCAACGTAGTATTGAGGACTTCCTCGCCCGCAACCCACCACAACCACAGCCAGCCCAAGTCAGTGATAGTGATAGTGACAGTGAGGATATGGACTTTGAGAGGTTTGTCTGGGAGGCCCTGCAAACCTCTGCGAGTAGTGAAAGTGATTCACCGGAGGGCAACTAATCTGCCCTCTGCCTCGGAACCAGCCGCCATCCACGTGTGCCGACCCAGCTTTTCTACTAACGTAAGTGTTAAGAAACCTAATACTATTGATATTTCTCTTAATTATTAATTGTGTATGCATACCATCATAAAATTAAGATGTTATTTTGACTACAAGGTACGTATTGTGTCGGAAAAAGTGGAGTTTGGGGGTCGACCCAGTCTCTATTTCAATTATTCCCATATGTTCTGTTATTTCATTTACGCGTT